TGCCATGTACAACCAACTCCCTAGAGATTTTAATATCCACCTTCCCTAAGGATAGGTTTAATATCTACCTTCCCTTAAGGATAATGTGAAAGGACAGGCACGCTCAGGTTAGAATTAATCCTTCAAAGCTTTTAACAATTTCACACCGAGATTAAGGAAAGCTTATGTATTTAATTTATATTCTGAGTATACATTGGGATAGGCTGAACTGGAAGATGATCACAGTTTTGAAATCAGAAGAAACACTAATAATCTGCACTGTGCACTCTGATGATTAAAAATGTAAATGATCTGCAAGTTCTAATAAAGTTATTTAAAACAACCCAGTGAACAATGGGACTAAGATTAAATATAAAGACCAAGATGCCAGCGGGCACAGCAGTAAGCCATAGCATTGTCATTGAAAACACTGAAGTTTGTGGATGGATTCTACATCTGTAAATAAAAGATCAGTCAAGAAATACACTACAGACTAGCACTTGGCAGGATATCCATGAAGACCTTGGAAAGGCATTCAGAGGCCAAGATGTGTCTGTATCTACAAAAATCAAAATCATGCAGACAATTGTTTCCCTGTAACCTTCTATTAAAATTAGACTTCGAAGAAGCAAGATGGACTGTGTATTGATATTTTTGAATTCTGGTGATGGAGAAGACTCCTGATAATTCCATGGATAGCTGAGAAGACAAACAGATTGTGTAACAAAGCAATCCAGAGTTCTCAAAAATGACAAATTATCGTGTTTGGGACGTATTATACAAAGGCCTAGCTATCAAGAAATGTGTAATGGTGCAAAAGATGGAAGAAAATAGAAGACACCTGCAGCAGGGTGCATTTAATTACAGCAGCGTTTGATAAATTGCTGGAAGAGCCAAATTGGGGACAGATCATCCTACAAAAGACATTTCTGTATAGTCAGTAAGAGTTGATACCAACTGGATGACATATAATCATTCTTTCTAAAAATTGTATTATCTCCCCCATTAAATTAACAAATAATGCTTGATTTCACATAGATCCCAATCTGGGTTAGATAATTACTCAGTTTTCTAAAAATAAAAAATAAAAACCACATCCTCAGCTACTACAAACACAACAACATGTTCATGAATGCTGAGAAAGATTTGACTTCTTAGCAATGTAGTATTAAAATGAAGGATTTCTCAATCTAGATAGGAAACTTTTTTCAAGTTTCTTAGTTTAATTAGAAATGCCTATGAAACTGCTGACAGGAACATCATATTAGGATCCTCCATTTATCTTACAGGAGAATTTTCTAAATCAGGGGTCTTTAAACTTGGCCCTTTTATGACTTGTCATAAAAGGGCCAAGTTTGAAGACCCCTGTTCAAAATAATGCACATGCAACGCGTGCTTGCTTCATCTAGGAGAGAAAGGCAAGATGTGGCTCCAGAGATTTGATTGCTCAAGTTCAACTCTACTTCTCTAGCCAGTGAGAGATGATATTCATCTTTATCCACAAACTACAGGAAAAATATATCGGATCTAGAAACAAGTTTTATTTAAAATTATGCTATAGTCTGAATATTGCTTAATCAACAATGTTTTTCTATACTATTTATTCAGAAATAAGTTTGGCTAAATTCAATATTTACTCCCAGGTGAGCAAATATTAGATTATAACCTAAAATGTATATGTCAGTTACTTTTACTGCAGCACTGAGGTATTGATATTTCTTCAGAAAAGTAAGTACAAGTAGTCCTTGACTTACAACAGTTTATTTAGTGGCTGTTTGAAATTACAACGGTACTGAAAAAAATGACTTATGATCATTTTTCACACTTATGACCGTTGCAGCATCCCCATGGTCATGTGATTAAAATTCAGATGCTTGGCAACTGACTCATATTTATGATGGTTGGAATATCCTGCTGTCCTATGACCACCTTTTGTGACCGTTTGACAAACAAAATCAATGGGAAAGCAGATTCACTTAACAACCATGTTACTAACTTAACAACTGCAGTGATTCACTTAACTGTGGCAAGAAAGGTCATAACACTGGGCAAAACTCACCTAACATCTCACTTAGCAACAAATGTTGGGCTCAAATGTGGTAGTAAGTCTAGGACTACTGTGTACTGTATATACAAATTATGGAGCAAACTATAAAGCTAGTAATTAGTAGCTTCATGCTACTCTGTGTACTACTGATACTGATTTTACCAACCAGTTACAATTTCTAATTCTAGGCATGTTGCCTACATCCATGATTAATCAATGCATATTCCGTTCATAAAAGCTTCTTCAAGCTGGCCAGCTCACATTTAATTTGCATTCCTTGATAGCTTATATGTGCAATGGATAGTCTTAGCCAGTGCTTTTTTTGTCATAGAACGCACCAGAACAGAGTTCCAGCATCTTTTTTTGATGGATTTTTCCAAATTTTAAAAATAACTTTTGAAAATTTGATGTTTGGTCCACATGGACTTGAATTCGCCCTGTTGAGCGTAGCAGGTTGGAGGCAAAATCATTAAAATGGTGCATGCGGGCTGCTTGTGTGTCGAGACCGATGCATGCGTACTTCGTCCGCACTGGTTGTGATGGTGCTGCTCGGCTTGTGGCACTGCTCGGCTTGTGATTGGTCTTGTGGTCATGCACTGAGTGCTTACTGCAGGCAGCGACCATTATGTTTCGTTACACAACTGACATGTGTGGGTGTGTGTACAGTAATTGACTATGTGCGAAAGGTAAATAATTTATTTTAAAAAATCATTAGTGAATTGAAAATCTTTAATTTTTTAGTGTAAAAGTGTGACCCCAAATTTAAAAATGAGAAAAAAAATACTAATTACTTCTCAACCACCGGTCCTGCTAAGAACTGAATATATAATTTTTTAAATAAAAGATTAACAAGATGTGAGTTCCGACACCTTTCTTCTTACAAAAAAAGCACCGGTCTTAGCAATTATATATGGTTAAATGGTAAATCAGTGAAAGATATCAATATATGTATTGAACAATGTACCTCACAGATTAAGTGGCTTATTTTAGTGTAGATAATTACAGTGAATAGTCCACTGAATCAAGAAATTGACTAGAAATGCTAAAACCTGGTAATAATGGAATGGAATGGAATGGAATGGAATGGAATGGAATGGAATGGAATGGAATAGAATAGAATAGAATAGAATAGAATAGAATAGAATAGAATAGAATAGAAGCTGGAAGGACCTTGGAGGTCTTCTAGTCCAACCCCATGCTCAGGCAGGAAATCCTATATCATTTCAATCCAATCTTTTCTTAAAAACTTCCTGAGGCAAGTTGTTCCACTGATTATTTGTTCTGTCAGGAAATTTGTCGTTAGTTCTAAGTTTGATTAGTTTCCATCCATTGCTTCTTGTCCTGCCTTCAGGTGCTTTGGGGAATAGCTTGACTCCCTCTTCTTTGTGGCAGCTCCTGAGATATTGGAACACTGCTATCATGTCTCCCCTCGTCCTTCTCTTCATTAAACTAGACATACCCAATTCCAGCAACTGTTCCTTATATGTTTTAGCCTCCAGTCCCCTAATCATCTTTGTTGCTCTTCTCTGTACTCTTTCTAGAGTCTCAACATCTTTTTTACATCATGGTGACCAAAACTGGATGCAGTATTCCAAGTGTGGCCTTACTGAGGCATTGTAAAGTGGTATTAACACTTCATGTGATCTTGATCCTATCCCTCTGTTAATGCAGCCTAGCACTGTGTTGACTTTTTTGGCAGCTGCAGCACACTGCTGGCTCATATTTAACTGATTGTCTACTAGGACTCCGAGATCCCTCTCACAATTGCTACTATTGAGCAAGGTACCACCTATACCAGTGATGGCAAACATTTTAGAGACCGAGTGCCCAAACTGCAACCCAAAACCCACTTATGTATCATCGGGTGCCGAGTGGGCGTGATCCATTGGGTGGGCATGGCCCATTGGGTGGGCATGGCTGCAGTGGTAACGGCAGGCTGGGTAGGACTAAAAAGTTCAATCAATCAATTCCAACTTTGCGAGATCGTTTTTTTCCCCGCAAGGAGTTGAAATTGATAGATTGAACTTTTTTTTTTTGTATGCGGCAGCGGCGGCCTAAAGCAAAAAGGTTTTATAAAACACAGCTGAAGGCCTAGGACTGGGGCGATGGTCTGCGTGCCCACAGAGTGGGCTCTGCGTGCCATCTGTGGCACACGTGCCATAGGTTCGCCACCATGGACCTATACCATTACCTGTGCATTTGGTTTTTTATGCCTAAATGTAGAACCATATCTTTTTTTTTTTTTTTATATCATGCAGCACCTGGCAAAAACAAATTCCTGGCAAAAATTAAATTCCAAGGTTGCTTCAACAAACTCTCCCAGCCCAAATAATACACTTCAAGGCAATTATTTTTTTAAAAAAATTGTTACATTGTTGGATACAATCTATGTTTACTTAGAATAAAAGTTCATTGAATTCGGTGGTGCTCAACACACAGCTGCCAATCTAGCTATTCTTGAATGAACTATCCCCAAACAACTGCATTATCTTCTCACATCTTCTCTGCAACATGGCCTCCATTCCAATCGCAGCTGCAGATACATAATTTCAGCGAACTCAGGTCAATGGCCTGCTACCCGCCCGCCCCCCAAACGTTACATGCTACATAGATTACATGTTCTTTGCAAATCTCACACGGATTAAAGGCAGACTTCCCTTTATGGCACAGGCAGATTAAAGACGGGAGTTTAAGAGAATACAACTCTCTTACTGTATACCATTACTGTCCATTCCTAATGCCAATTATTTTATTCCCGTGATGGTTATGCATGATTAACAGGGTATCAGTTGCGTGTCGGAGATCTTTTTAACTTTTAAAATAAGCAAAGTGCAAAATGCCTCACAGAACAAAAAGGAGAGGGGGGGTTCTTCCTTGGCTACCAAGTCACCCACTGGCTTTCGGAGGCCAAGCCCCGTAACAGGGACGAGTCGATTCTTGGGAGCACCGCGGCCATCCGGCATCGTTCACTCACCCGGCCCCCGCCATCTGAGCGCTTTCTCCGCAGCGTGAGTCCACTCCGGAGCAGCGTCGGTAGTTCCCTCAGCTTCTGCCGCAACTGCACTTGCTGCTCCTGGCCTCTGGCGTCTGTGGCGTTACGGTCATGGAGCAGCGAGTCGGCCCTGTAACACGCGGGTTGCATCTTAACGGAGCTCCCAGCCATGCATACTACTTGCCGGAGAAGCCTCTTCCCAGCTGCTTCAGCGCTTTTCCCCGGGCATGCACGACGCGCACCTTTCTCTTGTTATGCAAAACACGACTGTCAGGCAAATGAATTGGCCGCAACAGCGGCAGTGGCGTCCTCCTCCTCCTCCTCTTCCTTCTCCTCCTCACGGGAATTGGGAAGGAAAAGGGAAAGAAGCCCGCACAAACATTGCTCTCAGCTTGCACGAAAATCAAACTGTGCGAGAAGGCCGATTCCCTAACAAAAATACTCAGAATAAGGCGTTTAACACTCAGGTGCAGGTAATGCGCCAGGAACCTAATATTTCTTAAGGCCTCCACCTTTCCCTACTCTCGTGGCCCCTCCCCCTTTGACGCTGTTTTTTCTCAACTGCTACGACGGGAACAAACAAAAGTCAAAGGAAGGAGCTGGGAAGGAGCAGCGGTGTGCTGAATATAGTATCTTGTGGCTTCTTGGTGTGCTACTCTTCAGAATGCACATCTTCCCTGGAGAATTGCAAATACTATCAACAGTCAATAAACCATAGCAATAAAGGGATAAAAGTTACCAAGAGTGGGTTTTCAGACTCTTAACTATTTAGCTAGCCTTTATCAAATGAGCCACAATTAGCAGAGTTATCATATTGGCTGTTTGGTAACATCCAGGTGATTGTACAGAAATGAAAGCTAGCGTGCTGGAAAAACAGCAATAAGTATATCACAAATGAAAATAATTTAGCTTGGTGTTCAGGTGTAATGAGCAAATTTACCAAACCAGATTGAGTATATGGATTGTGGATCATTAGGCACATTTGAAGATGCATTGGAGTAAATAAAATACTTGTCCAAACTGTTAAGAAAGGGCCATTTTTTGCAAGGAACTCTTCAGAAGCTATTTCTGCTTATCAATGCACATGTAAACAAAGTTACACAGACAGCAAAGATTAATGTGCTTGCAGAAATAGCCAAAAACAGTTTTCAAAGCAGCTATAGCAGTCTTGCAAAAGTCACTAATATTCTATAAAGTACGTTTTTAAAGGATTAGAATTAATTGACAAAGAATCAAAAGCTGCTGATACAATAGTTGAACACTCTATGCTGAAGCCAAACAAATCATTTTATAACATGTAGGTAGTCCTTGACTTACAACAGTTCATTTAGTGACTGTTCAAAGTTACAACAGCATTGAAAAAAGTGACTTATGACCATTTTTTACTGGACCATTGCAGCATTGCCACGATTCATGTGATCAAAATTCAGACGCTTAGCAACTGGTTCATATTTATGACGGCTGCTTTGTTCCAAGGTCATGTGATCAATCTTTGCGATATTCTGACAAGCAAAGTCAATGGGGAGGCCAGATTCACTTAACAACCAGGTTATTCACTTATCAACTGCACTGATTCACTTAACAACTGTTAAGTGAAAGGTCATAAAATGGGGGAAAACTCACTTAACAAATGACTCATTTAACACCAGACATTTTGGGCTCAATTGTGGTTGTAAATTGAGGACTGTAGTGTTTTGTGTGAACTCTGTGACTATAATTACATGACATACTGAATACACTGTTTAATGAGAAGGCCCTGGTTTCCATTTTATGGATCCCCATCCCTCCATTCCTTCTAACTGATCTGCAATTTTCCTAAGCATTCCAGTCAGAATAAAGTTAGTAGGCAATCTTTGCATGAATTTGCTTATAAGAAAGACACTGATATAGACTTTTTAGATTCTTTGAAAACTTCAGAGAACTAAAGCCACGTGTGAAAGAAAATCATTTCTAGGCAGTATATATACTTAATAATACAAAACCTCAAACCTCAGTCTGATGCTGTTCATAACAGTTCTACATTCTGCAAGAATTTTAATTTGGCTTTTTTCTTATATCTGTTTTTCTCTACTTGTTTGTTCAGATAGTTAAAATCTTTCCAAGTTATACATTCAATTACACATACAACACAATTAATAAAAAAATATAGCATAGTGAATCTCTATTATGGTGCAGAATTAAAAACTTGTACAATCCTATATTTATTTAACTGTGAATAACTCTCTGACTTTGAAGAGCTTATTTCTGAAAAGACAGAAGACAAGGTCATATACATTGAGTAACTCAACATCGTGACCTGTAACTTCTAAGTTTCAGCACCTGTTGGAAAATCTGAACAGGTTAAGAATAGTCCAGTGGGAATTAATCAGATCCTTTGTGATGGCAATGTAAAATCTATATAAATAAAAATGTAAATGTTCGTTTGTGCAAAATCTTAAATCTCCAAAAGTTCTTCACCGATTGCTTTGAAATTTTGACACAACGTTGCATTTGAATATGCGCGTGTTTTTATATATGTACTATTATATAGATGTCACACCTGTGACAGGTAAAAACATGCTCTTTAAAGCATAAAAACATGCTTTAATGAGCACCGTCATAGAAGCAACAATCTTGACAGGACCTTTCAAAGGTTAAGATGTCCTCATTCCTCGCATTCCTATCATTCCAACGGATATGCCATTTCAATTTAAGAGATTGTAATTCCCAATTCGATTGGCGTTTGCAATCACCATCAACAAAGCTCAGGGCCAATCTTTAGAATTGTGCAGTTTAGATCTAGACCCGGATTGCTTCTCACATGGACAATTATATGTTGCGTGTTCTAGAGTCAGCAAACCAGACAATCTCTATATCTGCACAGACAATGGAACAACAAAAAATATTCTATACCCACAAGCATTGTGAAATTAAACATATTACAAACGTGCGCTTTCTCTTTTCTTTCTTTTCCATTTAACCAGACTGAGCCACAGCAACATGTGGCCGGGTACAGCTAGTAATAAAAATAGAAGTTTAGTTTCTGAATCATTTTCTGATTTCTGATACTCTAAATGTAAGATACTAAAAACAGAGGATGGGATAAGAGCTTATGCTCCCTTACCCTCACTAATATTTCATGTTACTTTTACTTTGGGTCTTCCTGACATTATTTAATCAGGAAGCCAGAGATACTTTTTCTTACTTCATCTAGCCTTCTAAAAACTTTTGCACATGCTTTGAAATACAACATTCTTACATTATCGTTCCAAGATATTATTTGGAATTATTTCTTTCTCATTTTCATTTTACTTCCTTTTTTTTCATTTTAGCTAGCCTTGAATCAAGAAAATACTACTAAAAAGATGAGAGAGGGGTAAGAAATCCCATAAATTAGGCTAAGATGTTTTTCAGTCATATTAGTCCTTGGAGACTGATTGTATATTGAATCAATTGCTAGTGTTAATGATACCTGATAACATCTAGCACTTACAGCCAAAACTAAGCACAATGACTGATGCAAAAGGACTTTGAAATGCTAATTAATGTATTATTTCTAGAAAATCTGAAACAGCTTTTCAGCAAGCTGTGCTTGGTAAAGCATTTCTGTTTATGATTTACTTTACAGAAATGTTAAATCTGTCTTAAATATGTTTAATTTTTATTTATTTGTATCCCATCTTTATTATTTTTACAGATTGTTCTCGACTTATGACCACAGTTGAGATCAGAATTTCTGTTGTTAAGCAAGATGGTTGTTAAGTAAATTATTGCAGAAGTTAAGTGAATCACGTAGTCATTAAGTGAATCTGGTGTTCCCACTGACTTTTCTTGTCAGGAGCCAGCTGGGAAGATTGCAAATGGCATTCACATGGCCCCGGGATGCTGCAACATTTTTAAATACATGCCAATTGCCGAACATCCAAATTGTGATTATGTGACTGTGGAGATGCTACATCGGTTGTGCAAAGATGGGTTCTATGTCACTTTTTTCAGTGCCGTTGTAACTGTGAATTGTCACTAAATGAATGATTGTAATTCAACACACTTTCTCCTCCTATTTTCCTCACAACAACAATCCTATGAGGTGAGTTTGACTGGGAGAGAGTGGCTGACCAAAGTCACCCAGCTGGCTTTCATAACTAAGGTAGGACTTGAACTCTCACTTTCTAGCATGGTGCCTTAATCCCTAGACCAAACTGGCATTCTAATTTAGCAATATATTTAACCACAGTTTGTACCCTAACTCTGTTTTAAGTCCTATGATGCTTGGTTGTTTTTTAGATTTGGGTAGGGATTAACCTATGCTAAATATTCTTCAGTATTTTACATATAGATTTCAGTGAGCTGCTGGCCACTTAGGTTCTGTTTTCATACATAAATACCCAGAATAACAGAGTTGGAAGGTTCCTTAGAGGTCTTCTAGTCTAACCCCGTGCTCAAGCAGCCGATCTTATACTATTTTAGACAAATGGCTGTCTAATCTCTTCTTAAAACCTCCCAGTGATGGAACACCCAAAACTTCTGGAGGCAAGCTGTTCTACGGGTTAATTATTCTCATTTCAGAAATGCTTCCTTAGTTCTAGGTTGGATCTGTCCTTGATTAGTTTGCAACCATTTCTTCTTGTCCTGTATTCAAGTGCTTTAGAGAATAAATTGATCTCCTCTTCTTTGTGACAGACTCTCAAATACTGAAAGACTGCTATCATGTCATCCCTTGTCCTTCTTTTCATTTGACTAGACATATCCAATTCCAGCAACCGTTCCTTATATGTTTTAGCCTCCAGTTTCCTAATCATCTTTGTTGTTCTTCTCTGCACCCTTTCTACAGTCTCAACATCTTTTTTATATCATGGCAACCAAAACTGGATGCAATAATCCAAGTGTGGTCTTGCCAATGCGTTATAAAGTGGTACTAACATTTTACGTTATCTTGATTCTATCCCTCTGTTAATGCACCCTAGGGCTACATTGGGTTTTTTGGCGACTGCAGCACATTGCTGGTTCATACGTAAGTGGTTGTGCACTGTGGTAGACCCTAGATCCCACTTGTAGTTATTGCTATTGATCCAAGTACCACTATTCTATACATGCACATTTGGTTTTTCTTCCCTAAGTGTAAAATCTTACTCCAGGATCTTTGAAAATTAGGGTTCAGTGAATCTGAAATCCTATTTCCCAGCTCCTTCAGAACTCTTGAGATGTAATCCATCTGGTCCTAGTGATTTGAACTCATCTAGGGTGGATAGTTGTTGCCTTACCTTT